CCTGCATCTACTCCACCTGAGACTCTTGATACAGTTTCATCTGATTCTGAATCTGATGTCAATATAAATGATGATAGGAATTGTTTTCAACCTGAAACGTCTGTAAAGATTTCATTAATACATCAGGGAATTGGAGAGGAGGTATCAGGGAAGTGGAACATCAGCATGATGGCTGATTACTGCTGGTCATTGAAACGAGATGCTCCAGACGCAATACCTAAAAGAAAGACCGCAACACGTGGTTTTGAGACTAAAATACGTAGATTTCACACAAAAAATCAGGATGAATGAGGATTCATATTCGTTTGACATCAATGTTCTTTCCTTTTCTTCAGTTTATTTGTATTTTTGTTAACAAACGTAATAATCAAAAATGTTCATTGGGGTAAACGAAATAATAATTTGATCTAAGTAAGTTTTTCTTCCCGATTTGTAAAAAAATCTTACCTGAAGAAAAAAAAAAGAATATTATTTTCGCAACCTGCGTAGCTGAATTATGGCAAATCTGTTATTAAAACCAAAACAACTTTTATGAAGTTTAAATTCGTAGGCCTCTGTTATTTCCAATACTGTACATATGTATAATATGTACATGTACTAAGACTTGTCATTACATTTATCTAGTAATGGACAACTCTTTTATTTGTGCATATATTGAATTCAGAAAAGATAAAATGTTAAAGATAAAAATATTCGTGGCCTAAAATCCTCTTCTGAGAGAACTCCTGATGTGCAAATCATGGTGCTCGAACGTATGACTTCAAGTTATAAAGCAGCATCATGTAACTCCAGCGAATGCACATTAAGCACTGTGCTATGTTTTATCCACAGTAATCCATATCTGAAGTATTATTTTGGGCTGTTCTCCTTTTCTTTGTAAAAAAAAGAAAATAGAATTAGTATTCAAGTTTTAAAAACTTAGAACAGCATATACAGAATAGTGAACAAAATAGATCATTAGGTTCGTGTAAGTTGAATATACTTAGTGATATGGAACTCTATATCTAAAACAAAAAATTGCCATTTCATAACTATTCTCGGGTGACGTTTTTATAATTGAATATTGAGTGAAAAAACACAATGATTGCCAAAGAAAACATATTGAAGTTGCTGCGTTATATTTTCTATTGTAAAATTCATTAACAGAAGAAAAGAAATGCACCTTTGTATATACCATATTTCAGTCCATTGACCCTTAAATGGGTTGATGAGAGGCTATACACCCCGCTCGCATTCTAATAGGTTAAGGACAAGAGAAAGAAGAAAAAAAAGACCTCATGTCACTTTATTTGATGGAAAAAATATTTTATTTCTTCTCTGATAGTTTGTTCATTGAAAACGTACCACACTTTGCACGTTTTCTGTCTCTCAGAAAAAGGATATGCCATTTATATTGACAGTTGTCAGTCAGAAATGTTGTATCATTTCGCTTATCATGTTAAAAGTGTCAGTCGTTTGTTGTTTCGCTTAATAAGGTGACAATTAAACATCAGTTAGAAAGCTTGTATTATTTTGGTTGTTAAGGCATTTAAGCAGACAGTGACGTGTCAGATAGAAATCTTGTCATTTTGGTTGCTAAGGCATTTAAGCAGACGGTGACGTGTCAGTCACAAATCTTATGCTATTTTGGTTGCTAAGGCATTTAAGCCGATAGTGAAGTGTCAGTCACAAATCTTATGTTATTTTGGTTGCTAAGGCATTTAAGCCGACAGTGACGTGCCAGTCAGAAATGTTGTGTTATTTTGGTTGCTAATGCATTTAAGCCTACAGTGACGTGTCAGTCAGAAATGTTGTTATTTTGGTTGCTAAGACATTTAAGGCGACAGTGACGTGTCAGTCAGAAATCTTGTGTTGTTTTGGTTACTAACGCATTTACTTTAAGCTGGCAGTGTTGATCGTATCAGTCAGAAAGCTAATGTTATGTTTCTTATCAAACTGACAGTAATGTGTGAGTCAGAAAGCTTGTGTTATTTTTATTATCAAACTGACAGTAAAGTGTGAGTAATTAAACTTGTGTTATTTCACTGACACTTCTATTCGAATCAAAAAGCTTTTAGTGTTTCGTTTATCAAGTTAACATTTAGATGTCATGAGAAACATTTTCATTTATTTGCCTTTTGTTTACATAAAACACACTCTGGGTATCGTCGTTTTCACAAACCGAAAAAAAAAAAGCTCGTACCATTTCTCTTATCAGGGATTATATTTCTAACAAATATACGTAAACTTTATTGTTTGATTTTTTAGCTATGGTTTATTTTATTAGCTTTTCTCGCTATCGTAACCTAAATCACCCGTTTCGCACGTTCTTTTCTTTTCTTTTACTGTCCGATAACATAATTTTCAAAGTGCTGCTCTGAACTTCTTTTGTTTCCCCAAGAGACAAAACCCCCTGTTAGTGAACTCTTCTCTTTCTTGACAGCTAAGGTGATAAGAATCGTTTTAAATGTTGAAAGTAAGACGAAATGTAAGGTCATAAAAAACGGTCATGCGTTTTCAACATACACTTCAAGCCCAGAATGAGAGTTGCTTTCGAGACGCGGTTGAGCCTGATAAAGGGCAGGTATAAGATATCGTTTTTCAGGACCAAGACTGCACCCATTTTATCAAAATAAATAAAGCCTCTTGCTTACACACTTAAAAAAAATTGGGCTGAGACATCGGTGATAAATGTCATCCTTCAGTTTTTACTAGCGTCCGGTTTTATCCTCCAGTAAAATTAGCTTCAGATGTCATCCTTCGATATTTACTAGCGTCCGGTTTTATCCTCCAGTAAAATTAGCTTCAGATGTCATCCTTCGATATTTACTAGCGTCCGGTTTTATCCTCCAGTAAAATTAGCTTCAGATGTCATCCTTCAGTTTTTACTAGCGTCCGGTTTTATCCTCCAGTAAAATTAGCTTCAGATGTCATCCTTCAGTTTTTACTAGCGTCGGGTTTTATCTTCCAGTAAAATTAGCTTCAGATGTCATCCTTCGATATTTACTAGCGTCGGGTTTTATCTTCCTGCAAGATTAGCTTCAGATGTCATCCTTCGATATTTACTAGCGTCGGGTTTTATCTTCCTGCAAGATTAGTTTCAATCTTGTTTGATAACTTATTCCAATTTTATACCTTGTTTAATTTACTCTTAAGATTCTAGGTTTTAGGTTTACTTAGCTAGGCTACACTCAAGGGCGCATACGAGTGCTATAACTGAGTTTTCTTTAGAAATATCAATCACTTCGTCTTGATGAAGTTAACATCTCGAAATCAATGATAACTTAGCCATTTTAAAAGTAAAATTTCACGCACTTGTAAGAAGCATTGGATAAATATCTCTAACTTAGTAAACGTTACTTAAGTTGCTATTTTTGCTGGTTTTGTTTGTAAACTTGTAAGGTTTAGATCATTTAATTGTTCATTGTTTACTCGTCTCCTTTAATTAAAATATTATTTTATTAATCATCTTACAGATCAGTAAATCTAAAAAAAAAATCTATACGTACATTCCTTTTGAGGTATGCAGCGTCCTTTCTAATATCTGGAAATGATCATTGATCCTTTTTTTACTTCCCCTTACTAGTTAATATAAATGATCAATATAAAAACGTGGTTTCTCGGTTTTATTGAGAATCCATTGTCAAATTTATATAAGGATAGGAAGGTGTAGTTTTTAGACAAAATGGGTTTTTCTTCTGGTCCACTGAATTATTGGCCTAAAGGTTAGATTTTTTAAACAGTTTGTAAGGTTAAGTAACATTTCCATTCCATTTACAGACTTCCTCCCCTATACACTAACCAATAAGAAATCCATCAGAAATCCTTCGTATGATGTCAGGTCTTTGTGTAGTGAAGGTATGTAAATCTGAATTCCCAGTATGGAATACCAGAATTTTTCATAATCGTTATATGTATATATATAATTTTTAACTTCATTCATTCAATAATTTCATTTCGACAATTCCTTGGTAGAATATTTCTATGGAAATAAAATTCTTTAGTAAAAAGAAAAGAAAAAGGAAATATTAAAATGTAAGTCAGGCATTCATCACTTCTACTCATAGTTCGTGTTTTGTCCTTAGTAATATCTTTCATTTTGCTTACTTTATCAGATACTACGTTTAAATAATGTTGTTTTTTGTTATTTGATAATTAACATTTTAACGGATGTAATATGCTAGATGATCGCATAGTAGTAATTGTGATTTTATAATATTTAAAATATAGCTGATCCAGTGATACAAATATTTGAGGACAGGAATTGTCGTAGTTTGTGACAAATACGATTAGCTACGTTTAGAAGTAGTATTTAATTCTCTGCCTAAGAAAAAATATATTTATTTTTTTTTTTTTACAAAAGACAAATTACGTGTTCTACAGTAATTCCTGTACCCTGAATCCGAAAATGATGACCATTTTCTCCATCACGTACAC